AGAAGCTGGTCCCGCTTGTCGTACTTCTCCTTGTCGGCGAGAAGCTGGTCCCGAGCAAGAAGCTCAACACTGAAGTTATGCCATCTCAGTATGTTGCCTTGACACCCAGTGTATCGAACTTACGGCTCAGCGGGAATAGCCAAGGCAATGGCAGAGGTAGCCAAGGTGGCTAACGCCAGAAGCTTTGCGAAACGCATCGTGGGAACTGGTAAAAGGGAGTAGAAATGGTTTCTTCTGCCACGTGATGACTTGGCTTAGAATCGGAGGCTTGGGCTTTACAATAAAGCGAAAGGAGTATTACACGCACGTCTATATACTTGATGACCTTTTCGCCGTACCGATGACGCTATTGAGGAGTGCATCTTCGGATGTAAGTCGACTTCCTCAAGGCTATTTCCGGATGGTATTCGGTTCCCTCGGTACCTCTGTTGGTTGGAGATGTCGAAGACGTGATTCGGAAGGAATATACGGTTGGATATCAGATCGGTTCTCGGTAAGTTGCATATATCCGGCTGGAACTTCACTGACTGAAACTAAGACGGTCTTGGGCTCTACATGCTCCTACTAGCCTAACTCGAGTTATGTTTGACCTATCGCCCAGTATCTAATCCATTTTTTTTGATCCTGCCAACATGAGCATATTGAAGGGGTTTAGAGGCACAGCGAAAGGCTCACCGTCCTCGGACTCTGAGTTCGGGTATGTTTGCCTTCCTATCCCCCATCCCTTTTACAATTAAACGAGTACCCTAATGGCTATACACAATGAAAGCTCGCATGACGAGGAGAAACAATTGCTCTTCTCAGATGAGAAGAGAGTGAGATTCAAAGAGGCGTATAAGTTCTGGTCTCTGCGGAACATAATTCAGTATGGCCTTCTCTTTCTTGCGGGCGCGTTCAGTTTTACAGCCCTGGGCTTTTTACTCGCTGTTAATGTCAAGCCTGCTGCAACCGATTCTATATGCACGGAGCGGCTGTCTTCGTATTGTACGTTATCTTCGATACTATGCATTTCCCCTGTAGTAAAGGCGTCAACTGCTAATTGAATTTTTCGATTAAGCTCCGGCACTTCCAGCAGTCCGGTACTCAAATGTCCAGTTCAATGGAAGTTTCACGGGCAGCAACAAGTTCAGAGGATATCCGAATCCTGATCTTGATGATGCCTGGTCACGCATCTCAGCATGTAAGCATGAACCCCTCTCTAGCATTGCTACCGAGCGGCAATAACGATAGACCGGTAGTATATCCAATCCGGATCAGCGATCAGGAGCTGAACTCCATCGGAAAGCCGGTTACGGCTGTCCAATATCTTCGTGAAGAAGGTGGTGGGTATATGGGGGAACTAGAGGTTTTTCACCAGTTGCATTGTCTAGTATGTCTGATATCTTCTCTTTTGTACCGAATGAATGAATGCTAATGGGGAGGGTTAAGAATCTTCTGCGCATACAAGTTTACCGAGATTATTACACAAGTTTGTCACCTGTGCCTCCTATCTTGCGGGTAAATGAGACGGTTAGACATAGTGAACTAGGTGTGGATCTTCTGTCGTTAGCTTTGCTTACAGGTATTCATATATGGTTTCTAGATCACTGCGTCGACATACTCCGGCAATCTATTATGTGTACTGGGGATGTTACTATTGCAACCGCAAATTGGGTCCAAGGTCATCCGAGGCCGATTCCAGATTTCAGTACGATGCATGTATGTCGGGACTTTGATGCTTTGCTTGAATGGGCCTCTGAACGTGATGCAGGGGAGGTGGGGACGTTACAAGGCGATGCGTTTGTATATCGTTCACATTTTTAGAATTGTATGTTTATTTAATCAGAGTTTTATTTGTACAACTGTATACTGGGCCTTAAGATATCGTTTGTCTAGTTTAAACTTGATAAATGCACATTATTTCCTGAAATGGAAACCAGGAAGCCATATAGTCTGTTGTTGGTCGGATCAGCATCCGGAAGGATTAAATAACTCTCGGTTACGGTTCAACTCTGCTAACCGATGACTATCTCACGGCTTCTCCGATCTAATCTGCTACCGATAAACAAATAGACAAGATAACGATACTAATCCGACCACCGTATCTCTGTTAACATAGGTAGAGACAATGTAGATGCTCAGTAATCAGGAAAGTGTCAACTTCAGAAGCAATATACAGCTCGCTACTGCTAGAGAGTCTTCGAAAAAATGATTGACTTAGCACCTCGCTATCTACGCTTATTCCTCATCTTAATTTACATACTGCCTCTGGTATTAGCCATTGGCACCCCAACTGGCTGGCGCATAGTAAAACGAGCCCACCCATCAGAACCAATCACCATACGCATATACCTCCATCCCTCGAACATCACTTCGCTACAAGAAACTGTATACGCAATTGCAACACCCGGGAATGAGCAATATGGAAAACACCTAAGTCGCGAAGACACACATCTACTATCGCAGCCGTCGGTGCAGGCCATCGAGGATGTGACGAGTTGGATCACAGGTGGGGGAATCAGCCTTGACAAAGTCAAGATCAATTCGAATCGGATAAAGATTAGCACGACAATTGGAAAGGCCAATGGTCTGCTTCGATCCGATTACTCTGTGTTTGAGCACCAGGGCTTCAAGCGCCGGCTAGTACGCTCATTGACGTATAACGTCCCAGCTGATGTCCGGGAACACATTGCGATGCTCCAACCTGTTGATCTTTTTCCACCTTTGCAGGCGCATGTTTCGAGGGGGAGGAAATGGAGTGACAATAGGTTCTGGGAGGAGAATCAGGTGGCACTTGGTGATATCAGTTGCAACCATAATATCACTCCATCCTGTCTGAAAGACTTGTATAACATTGATTATACAGCAGATGGGGCTAGAGGAGGGAAAGTGGCATTTACCAGTTTTCTGGGAGAGGCGGCGCGACATGAGGATGTGAAAACGTTCCAGGAGCAGCTTGCTCCTTGGACAGCCGGCCATTCCTACCAATCCATTGCTATCAATGGGGCTGAAAATGAGGTTTTCGAGTCTGAGGCCGCTGCGGAGGGAAACCTTGACGGCCAGTATTTCATCGCCATTGTTGCTCCGTTACCGATGACAGAGTATAACTTTGGGGGAAGAGGGTAAGCTACTCCATGACATCCCATCAATCCAATCTGTTTTTAAAAGAAGAAATGATTTTTTATTCATCAGCGAGTCCATAAACTGACACGTACAAAGACCCCTAATCCCAGACCTCGACCAACCCTCCCTCCCGGGGAGCAACGAACCCTATCTTGAATTCCTCGAATACCTCCTCGACCTCCCCGACAAAGACCTGCCCCATACAATCACCTCCAGCTACGGCGAAAACGAACAGGAAATACCCCCGGACTACGCTCAAGCCATCTGCAACCTCTTCGCCCTGCTCGGCGCCCGCGGCGTCTCCATGATCGTCAGCTCCGGCGACTCGGGCGTCGGCCAAGCCTGCCAATCCAACGACGGCCACAACACAACCCGATTCAACCCCATCTTCCCCGCAAGCTGCCCCTTCGTCACCTCTGTCGGCGCCACAAAGCACGTCTACCCGGAAGTAGCCGTCGAGTTCTCGTCCGGCGGTTTCTCAGATCTCTTCCCCCGCCCCTCCTACCAGGATGCCGCCGTACAACAATACTTGCACGGACTGGGCGATACCTGGGCCGGACTATATAATGTCGCTGGCCGCGGGTTCCCGGATGTTGCGGCGCAGGGGACGAGCTTTACGGTCGTTGATAAGGGCCGGGAGAGCCATATTTCGGGGACGTCGGCGGCTGCGCCTGTTTTTGCGGGGATTGTGGCGCTGATTAGTGCGGAGAGGGTGACGGCCGGACTGCCGCCGTTGGGGTTCTTGAATCCGTGGCTTTATTCTGAGGGGTTTAGGGTGCTTAATGATGTCACGAGGGGTGGATCGGATGGGTGTAATGGTGTGGATCAGTATTCAAAGTTGGAAACGCCTGTTGTGCCGTTTGCTAGTTGGAATGCGACGGTGGGTTGGGATCCTGTTACGGGACTTGGGACGCCGGATTATGGGAGGATGCGTGGGTTGTTTATTAATGGGGCATTAGGCTTATGAGGGTAAATCAGTTCTTAAGTTCAGTTTTTTTTTGGTTTGGCTAATCGTGTATATAGCTTTTCTGTCTTGAATCGTGTCGTGTCATGTCATGCTATACCATCAAAGGATCTGCCAATACATTGATATCCTTGTCCTCACTGTATGCGTGAAAGGAGTGAAAGAGGTCCAAGTGCCTCTATATCATCCGTGTCGGTACCATGTCCTCTAGTATGATAACGTCCAGCCCCACGAGTGTCAACCTTGAGAGCCCTCTGTTCTGCAGTCGACCATGTACAAATGCTGCGTAAGGGTGGTCAGGAACTCTAGAATTTCATGGGATCCAAGTTCCAACGACGTCTGTAATGCCAACCGCCCAAACCATCCGACTGCCATACTCAGCAGCGCCTTGTCACCGCCGTCAGGGCTTGCTGGTCTTGGGAGAGGGTTGTGTAAAGCGTTCAAGCCAATGATGCAGCAAGCTATAAGCGGAAGATGGATAAACAGCCTATAGGTTGATTCCCACCAATGTGGTCTTAGCGATGGAAAAAGAGATGTTGAAAACACTATAAAACTTACCACGCGGGCTTTGACGCACTATACACAAGCAGATGTGTTACAGAGAGGATTCCCCGCGCGGCAAGGACACATTCTTCTGGGATCACGGACGATGAATGCGGGGATAATCTTTGGAGATGCCAGTGGATGTTGATGATAGTTTCATAATATTTGAGCATCGTTTCTAGTCTTTGCTGTAAGATAGATGAGGACGAGCCTATTTGATATGCAAGTATACTTGGGGATAAACTGTGAATGCCTGTATTGCTTAATTCGGGAATTTGTTCTTTCCAACCGTCTAGAAATGGCTGGAGGTTTCCAAGCAGTTTTTCGGGATCGGCATTGTTTAATGAAGTTCGGGGGCTCCATAGCTCTGTCATGACCACTGAACAGATTTTGGAATGTAATATAGCAAAAGCCTCCTCGTCAGTATACTGGTCAGCAATCTGCTTTGAAGGTGGGAGGTAGTCAATGTCCTCGTCATCAATTCCAGATAACCGGCCTTCTCGCATGAGTAGAGGCTTTTCAATTTTGTAGATTGCCCAGAAAATGTTCTTTAGGTATGTCTCCTCTTGGACGTCTGTGATCAGGGACTTGACCCCCGAGGAGGAGTTCAAGTTAAGCATCAGAGCTAACTCCCGGGCGGCCATGATATATCCGCACGCGAGGCCAGATAAACCAAGGGTTTCGCAGCATATAGTCAGCGCAACCAATGCCTGGATTTTGGTGACAGTGGGCGGCCCATCAAACAAAGTCTTCTGCGAACGAACTGCCGCGGCCAGATAATCTCGGGGCTCGGTTTTGTTAGGGCTTGGCCAGCTACCAAGACAAAGTAGGGCATAAACGAGTACAGAAGGGGCACCCTCGGGTAGAGAACCATTCAAGTACAGTTCAATGTAGTTTTCAATCTTCTTCTTTTCAATAAAGTCTCCTCGACCAGACGAAAAGAAATTGCTCATGTATTCAGGCACAGTCATGGAGTCAGAGTTGGGGGTTTCCCTGGCCTGAAAGTTCTCTAGAGTTTCGGTGGCATTCGACAACCGGGACATCTTGAGAAGCACCGAGCCTGCGAGAGAATGGATTTTTTCTGACACAGGACCGTGTGAAATATTCTTACCAAGCTTGAACAGTAACAATACGGAGAGGATGGAATGTCTGGCTGGCTGAATGTTAGCACTGGGGAGCCAATCAAGGCTATTATTGCTTGCTTACAAGGGTAATAAAACGAGGTACTCTGAGTCAAAAGTAAAGGGCTTCTAGTCAGCATGGACCTTGAACTAGTTGCGAAGCTGACTTAAGAAAACATTACATGTACATCAGCTTCCTCATCTACTACTCTTGACTGAGCTTGCGCCGCGTTTGGAAACAGCTGCTCAAGCATTTCACCAACTTTTGACGGCGAGCTTGACCGCTCATGATAGCCTTGAAACGAGCATTGAAAGTCTTCGGCTTCCAATCCCGCATCAAGACATCCTTGCAAGTCATGATCGGAGATAGAATCTCCAGGCATTCCAATTGGCTCGTTGGTGATATTCAGAGGCTCCAGAAGAGTCGAATCAGGGAAGGAAAACTGGGAAGATGAGATGTCAGGCAGGTCCTGCCAGCTCTCACTGAACGAGGAAGAGAAGAATGCAAGATTCGTCGAACTCTGGGAGCTTCCTGAGCTATGCTGTTTATGTCTCACTATCTCTGAGTCAGAGAATTACCCCACTGCAACCACAAGAATGGAGATTGTCTACCTCTTGTTTGGCGGTGCCGGGGGGGATAAGTACAAGACAAACTAAGCCTCTAAACACCCTGAGTTTTTAGTAACACTTTCAACAGACCTCGAATCAGTAGAAGTTTGGATCAAACTAGCTGACCTTGCACTCCGAGCAGCATGGAATTAGGCCATCACCTGGTAGGGAGATGGACTTTCTTAGTAACGGCACCTAGTAGCCCTCCTACCTTCTTTTATGAACGTACATTTCACCTTCCTTTGCCTACACGTATCACAGGCTCCTCGTCTTCTGGAGAATTTGACACGTATCCGGTCCCTCTTGCCATCCATGATTGGTACTTCAGTAAAGGATTATAAAAAATGTTGTTCAAGATCACAGGTTGAGATTGATTGCAGCAAGTGTGAGTTGATGAGCCGGTACATTCTACAACACTAATCCCGCGGATAATTAGCCATTATCTTATATTAGTGGCCAGCCCTCACTAAGTCATTCAGGATCTAGAATTTGAGGCGCTGCTGGAGCATCACAGTGGGATTATACGTTGATTTGACCTGTCTTACGCTGATCAATTATCACGTCACATCCTTCCTAACCAAAGATAGGATTTACAGCGGTTCTAGATCTTAGCCCGGACTCCGCCGGTCCTTCATAGTGCTTATTTTGTACACGTCAGAGGATCTATCTCCGTAGCCAACATTTGAAGGATCCTACAAGGCCAACTAGACCCGCACAAGTGGATATAGGGTGGGTGACAAAGGCTTCGCCCTTCCATAGCTCTGTTGGTAGTAGAACATAAGGTTAAACGGGTATATTAGAAAGAGCTTCGTCGTTCTTTGCTTGCTATTATTGTTCTGGATCCTGAGCTGGTTCTGCTGAGGTGGTAGGTACAGTAGTTCAGGCTGGCGAGTCTGCGGGGTTGTAGAGGCGGGTGGGAATTTAGAGTGGGGTTAGTTGATTGTCAATAGATACAGCAAATCGCGTGCATCTTGTCTGTTTCCAGGGATCTGAGTGGAGGAGTTTCATAACTGCTGATCTTATATGGTGTATAAGGGGCCTACTCGGTCCCGAGGGTGGAAATCACTTCCAACGCTCGCGGTTATGCATCGCGCTCATTGGTGAGCTACTACTTAAGCACCGACAAACTACTAACGGAGGATTCTCGAGTAATAAATCATTAATTTAGGCCCATAGTAACCGAGGTCCTGGCAAGTCGTCAAACGTTCCATGGATGGGGATATGTATTGTACAAACTGACATCTACCATGCCGGATGCTGTCAGGTGAAAGGGAAGAACAGAAGCGTAAGTAGTGAACGTAGAACGAAAAGATTAAAGTACATCCGAAATGAAACTCGCTTTGTGTGAATGGCAGTTAAGAGGACATATATATTAAAAGAGGAATAAAAATCAGAAAGCAGCGAGTAAATAATCACGGCAGCAGAATGTGTCAATCCCACTCTTAGGATGAGGACCACTCAATCCCGTCCGTTCTGGGTGCCAGCGCCGGGCCCTGATGATGCGGTTCTCTTTCCGCTATTAATCTGCGCTGCAATCTGGCTCTGTTTGAATTTCTCGAAGCCCTCGATATCTTGTTTATGAGTTGCCCACAGCTCTTCTACAGTCGTACCTAACTGTTCGAATGTTTTGTTCGCACCGAGATCGTCGAAACGGGCATGTGTCTGCTCCTCCTGTAGACGCTCGAGTTTCTCGCGAAGAGCAGCAATGTGTGCATCATCCAACGTGAGAGATGGATCATCGTCGGTCTGAGCAAATGAAGGGTTGAGAAAATCGCGTCGAAGGTTTTGGCCGAGACGGTGAACATGGCCTTCTTCAGAGGTCATTGCCCTTGAATGAAGAGATGTCATCGAGCTTGTTCGTGATATACCCACGATATATTGGTCGATATCTTCGTCATCGATAGCACACTCATCGCCCTGATCGGCGACTGGTACATTGCTAAATGGAGGCCCACCATGCACGTCGTCCCCAGAATTCTGAGAGCTTGTATCTGGGGCTGCAGAAAAGACCGGCTGCGGTATAATCCGCGTCTCTGGGTACTCGTCCTCAAATCGCCGGATCATCCTATCCAAGGTGAAATCAAGAAACTGAAGGCGTCCTAGAAGCAGAAACGTCAGTACTGCCATTAGCCGATTGACATAATCAGTGAACATACGGTAGTTACTATCATTTCCGGCTCGGTCCTCACGGACAAGAGCCGACTGGATCCGGGTTCGGATATTCCGGGCTGACTCAAGTAGATTCTTCGACATATCACGGGGCTTTTTCGCTACATAAGACCGTGATTTCCTGTGTCTAGGAGTCGTCGTGCCACTAGGGGGGCCAGACTGATCCCCTGGCATATGATGATCCAGGTTGCCAAGGCAGACCCCTAGAGCCTTCACTACACCAGTACCTCCAATGACGTAGTCCTCATCAGGAGCTGGCTCATCATCTTCATCGCAGAATTCTTCTCCGCCACCAGGGCCGACAATATGTTGCAGAATCTCTGGCACGGGAACAGTTGCACGCGCAGAGGTCGGGTCTCCCGGCACAGACAAATCTCCTTCGATGGCGCCTCGTTCAAGGTTTTGAAGGGAATAGGCTACGATTTGGGAAGCCAGAGCTTTCACAACTTCGTTGTTTTCTGCGCTTGGAACTTCGATTTCCACTGCTATGATTGTTCGCGACACGCGTACCGCGGCCATCAGAGAGGCGTAAACAGCGCAAGCTTCTTCCTGATTGCCAGGGTCCGTTGTAGCGGCCAGCGCACTTATGGCAGGGTTTTCCAAGATGCTCAGATGGCACAGACTGGGGCACTCGGGAAGGACTTCGGCAAGAGCAATGGCATGGTCAGCCGACAAATTCACATCAGCTAGATGAATGCGCTTTAAAGAGGGCATTTTAGGGAGGAAGCGCCGGAAGGTAGCCAGGGCATCAGGCTGGCTGGAAAACAGTTCTGGATTGTGGGAAAAGTCGATAAAAAGGAGGTTAGGAAGGCGAGTCAGCGCTTGGAGTAAAGGATATAGCACGGCTGGAGTAAGAGCACAGTCGGCAAGACTCAATGCGTAAAGGTGGGTGTCTTTGTCGATAGCTGAAGTAATCAAATCCAAATGATCTCGGATGGGATTTCCACCCAAGTCGAGTCCTTCACAACTAGTCGACTTTAGGTAACGAACTACATGTTCCAAGCCCTCTTTGGTTAACTCATTGTTTGCGAAACCAAACCTCCTCAAACCAAGAGTTACGGCTGCATCGCAGATTTTCTTCACCTCCTCCGTCGTTGGTTTGCACTCGCTCAGCAGGAGTTCCTCAAGACGATTACCACCGAAGCGTTGAGACAGAGAACTGGCGAACACGGTTGCAACATCTACCGAGGAACACGTAGCATATGAGGGCTTCGAGGGTTGGCCACTAGGATCATTTGGGATGATAGGAGTCTTCGGGAGCGGTATGCCCGACAAGTCAATGGCCTTCAGTGACTTTGACAGATGAACAAACAGGCATATATGGCGCCATCCCTCCTTGCCAATTTTCGGGTTATCTTTCAGGGACAACTTTTCTATCACACTATTTCTCTCTTCTTCCACCGAAGCCTTCGAGTCAGGTTTACCGATCCGCTTGCGTCTCTGCCTCATCTGCTCGACGGTCTTTGTTGAGAGTAGAGCAGCAAGAATTGACCGCACCGATTCATCAGTCAAGGCGCACTTTTCAAGGATGATCTTTCGCACAGGGACTACAGCCAGCCAGTCACTGAAAGTAGCAAGATCCTGCGGGGTCATGGGGAAATTGGTAAGGTCGAGCACGCCGACGGTTCCAGGAGATTCCGCTAAAATGGAGGAAGGTGAGGAGATTTCATCGACTATTCTTTTAAGCACGGGCGTCTCCCGTAGCTGGCAACAGCGTCTGTATATCCGTACCGGATCTGTCGTCGGGTGACTCTGCGTTCTCGAGCGTGAGTAACCGGGCAGAGACGTGTGGGAATGGTCCTCGTGGTCCTCAGCAGTTAATTGCAAAGGGATGGAACCATTTGCCTCGGCTTGTCTCCGCCTTCTCTCTCTCCGTTCTCTCCTTTCCTCCTCCGATCTCTTCTTCTTTTCCTGTTTTCTAGTAGGCTCCTTGCTCTCACCGTTTGCTTTGTCATCATTAGAAGGAATTTCCGGTTGTCCGGATTTCTTTCCAGGGGCGATATTCTCCTGATTATGCTTTTCCTTATCCGCCAAAACAGCTTGTGGATGTTTCAAAGCAGAGCCTTCATCTTTGTCTTTCGTTTTAGAACTCGACTTTTTCGATTTGCCGTTTAGATCTGAGACCGTCCGTTGCTTAGCGTTTGCCGGGGGGCTTTCCTCATCGGACTCTCTACGAGATATCCCAGCAATCTCAACATCTACACAGAATGCGACGCGTCGCAACTTGGCCGGATCCAAATCGGGGATCTTGCATCTATCCCGACCCGGGTCAATGTTCATCACACGACGCTCGCAAATAACGCCGTTCGTCGCTAACTTGCCCGATCCTGACCCAGAGGAAGAAAGTTTTCGGAAGGCGTTTTGGAGGAATGAGGAGCCCTTCGGGGAGGTAGAAGTAAACGGATTTGGTTCGTCTCTTTTATCATCATCCTTGTCCTTGGGAAAATAGGCTGCTCCGAACGGGTTGTGCGTATCGAGCTTTGACACCGGCGATGTTGCCTTCACAGTCGGTTGACTCTTCAAGCTGGACTGCGACGGAGGTGTAGACCCCGAAGAGAACTTAGAGCTGAGGGTCGAGATCCACGAATTTCTCCTCCCAATGGGCTTCGGCGAACTTTTCTGGGGATTCGGGGATGATCCCGTCACCTTCGCATCCGCCGCCTTGTCATCCGGTCTCACTCCGTTCTCCGTTCGAGAGACGTTATTTTGGGGCTCCGACGTAGATTCGACGGCAGGACTGGGTGGCTCATAAGGGGGTGGCGGGGAGGTTCTTTCGAGCAGGGGTTCTTTAATTCGGGGTGCAAGTGTGGGTTCCGTTTCGACATGCGACTTGTCGCTGTGTGTGGACGATGTAGACTTGCACCTTGAGAGATTATCTAGTATGAGGTTAGAGGGAAAATCCAACAATCGCTTGAAGCCAACCGAACACCCCCATGATGGGCGTCGAGGCCAGCGGGGTTCGCCATCACCTTTCTGCGTATGATGCAGCCAGCTGACATCAACTGTCTCAACTCCTTCCATTTTGATTTTTGAATACGTTGGTGGTAGCGTGGTAGCTGGATCAGAAATCTAATATTGGCTTCGTATCTCAAATCAGATTAGATGATGAGTTGGTGAATCGGGGAAGAGGAAATTGCGGTGCATACTCCGGTTTCGAGGCAATTCAACGGTCGATGATATAGATCGCGGGGTATAGTTTATTGGATAAATGATGCATTCCTTTTCCAATGGAACCATTAGGAGGTCTGGCGGTTGGCGTATACCATCATGACATAAGGACAAGGCCGAGGGATCATGATGGGTGCGGAAACGATTCGTGGCAAGTCAGAGAAAAGGAGTCCACGACGGGACCAGAGTGTTCCAGGAGAATGACCTTGAGAGTAGTGAAAAATGATGCGCAGAAAAGGAGAAGGGAGAAGGGCCAGTGCGGACTGAGGCAAATTGGGATGAATGGTACCTTCACGTACTTAAAAAAGAAGACCAACTGCGGACTAGTGGGTATTATCGAATGTTGAAGGAATTCTTTGCGGAGGGCCGCTTTGCCTTCCCTTACCTAATCCCGGTACCACATCTTACAGGGATTATAATACCCAAGTTGATGTTGATGCATCGACGTCGCACGACTTATCCCTAGCCTACAAGCATAGATTGCTCGAACCATTCAGGGTTATAAGTCCCTCACTCCGACGCAACAGGATCAAATCACCTCCGATTCCCTCATCCGTTGTTTCCGCTCGATATTCCGTTTTTCCCTCACACGACACCCTGCCAAGACCCGAACGCGTATTGTACCAATACCTGGGCCTAGAAAATAGGGTCGAATCAAAGGGCCCACGCCTGTACCATCTACCGGTGCCCCATGATTTTCGCAGCTAATACTAATACTAATGGATTGATAGCCCCATCGAATACTCATGATTAACCTCTTGTGTAATACGGTTTGGTAACTAGTCCCATACTCGACAACTTCTCAATCATTCCATCATCCTTGTTTACCCCCTCCCCCCGGTACAGTGCAGTGTAACATCGACCGAAGCTTGTTCAAAATTTCCTGTTTCTTTTCTTAGGATACGAAAAGCAATCACGCATGCATCTACTAGTAGTACTCAGTCGTCTTTATAATGTCGATTCATTACCCGCCTATTGGCCCAGTCACCTGACGCCTATTGTACTCCATAGATAGTGTGAAGTATCCATCGCTATCATGATTGCATGATATCTGACTATATATCTAAAAAGTCTATCAGATCGGAGTTTGGGTGCACACAAACCAGACGGGGCCTGAAAATTGGGCAGCGAAAGATCCGTTCGACTTGGTTTTTTCCCTTTTTACCGTGTGGCGTTTTCTCGTTTCCGGGGGTGATTGACTTGAGTTTAAAGTATGACGATCCGAACCTTTCAATACAGGAGATGTCTGAGATAACCTTTCCTTTCAGGTTTGCAACCCCTCTTTTTACCCTTTCAGTGTCCACCGGGGAACATCTGACTGGGCTGCACCGTGATCCATTAGGAAATCTGAATTTACCCTAAGAGAAAAAAAAAAAAGTTTACAAAAAAAAAATACAACCACAATAATGTCCAAAGAAAGTAGAAGCAAAAATGGATTCTATAGCTTTCGAAAATTGGATCCTATCCACTCGTAGTAATTCGATACCGTAGCCGTTGAGTATTGCCTTCTAGGGTAATATGCGCCGGGAGTGTACTGGCCAAGTGGTTCCAATTTCCAGTTCCAGTTCCACTGCGACGGATCAGTCTATGGCGTAATACTAGTCCAAGACGATGAAGATCCTTTCGCTCCAGAAGATCAGGTGATCCATAGGTCGCTATTACTCAATATGGTTAGTTTGAGATAAGGCACGTGCTGTATTCGCACAGCCAATCAGGACAACCCTTCAACAGCCGATATCGTTAAAAGTAGTGCAAGTTCTAACCATGTCTAAGGTCCTGACAAGCATTTACTCTACACTAAATCCTATTAGTGTTCTTCATACAGCTGGCACAGTTCAAAGGAAAAGGTAGAGAACCCGTCCCAAGTACGTTTCCTTTCATTCCGACCTTTACTCTAATATACTAATTAATTATTTTACCTATCTACTCTGTATATTATATGTCATTGAGTAGTCAACTGACGCTTATTGATGTCAACCACTGCGACCCCCACCTTGAAGGAATATCCAAGCAACGGCTGATACAATCTTGCACTATTATTATAATATATTCAACTACCACACACATATATATTTAGCCTTGCTCTATCTTTATTTTTGGCCCGTGGATAGTCGAAAAGGATCAATGTCTAGATAAAGCGAGACTGGAGTGTGGAACTTACAATTTTACTGTGGGTCTTACACAATAAAGATGAAGGACTCTAGAATTCAGCACGGGGAACTCGACTACACCCGAGCCTACCTTGACGCTCTAATCTCTAGCGTCTATGAATATGTGTCCGGTCTTTTTAAGTCATTGACTATGGATTACCGACGTACTCAGCATGTTCGAAATGGCAACGGGTTTAAAGAAATGATACTCCCAAGTTCTGGGGACGAGGTTCGTTTTACATAATTCCTGGCGTAAAAGTTGTTGGGGGCTGTTGGAACAGTTTGTCCGCCTGTCTATATCAGCCGCCCGTTTGCTTTGTAGTTGGTTACTCATCGCACTGAGCTTCTAGCACCATCGTGCAACCTTCACATCAAAGTCCGGTGTTTTCGGACATTTTCCCATTAACGAGTATATTAAGATAATCCAGACACCCCAACCTAACTAATGGCAAGCTCCAAATACTCACCCCCCAATCTCGAGCCTTATTCTACCCACAAGCCCACTTCCCCAAACCCTAGAGTTAGGATTAGATTTGGTGACTTTATACACGCTCGCAACCTTCATAGCCAGAAAGGAGAGATGGCTTCATTCACGTGTGAATAGAATTTCCAGCTAGAAATCTTACCAATGACCCTAGAATACAATCAAGCAACTCTGATGATTTGGCTAATAAATAAAATTAAATCTGTACACTCTCGCAAGATCAATTCGTAACAGCAAACTTGCTTCGGGCCCTCAATTTAGCACCATATAGATAAATGAAAACCATCCCAAAGATGCCTCCAACTGAAAGACCCGCCAGCACTGTGACTCCTTTTCCTATCCCTAGGTCGAGATACATGTACCGTGAGAACATGACAAAGCCCGCAGCGGTTATAGAGCGAGCGAAGTCGTTCGCTGCAAACAGTGAAGACACATATCGCGGATACGACAACGATACGTAGACAATGATGGCCTGGAACACGACAAATGACGATCCAGCATAGATTCCAACGCCGATTGCAGGCACAATCCAGTGAACCGGGCGGCGAACTGTCCAGGCAAATAAAAAGAGACCCGTGGCCAAGAAAAAGACGGCAGGGAGTGCTGGGATCAGGCGATCTTCCTGGCTGGGGGCTTCCTTGTGGCAGCGAGGGATGAAGATGAATTTCAGGTACGCTGCATAGAGTATCGCAGATATTACACAGCCAACAATGATGGAGAGGAAGATCAAGCTTGAAGAACTTTGAGGCATGGGATATATACCGCTGAATGCAATGGGAAAGGCCTCGAAAAACGAATAATAGATCGCATATATCAACGACGCGTATATGCACATGTATGCGATAGCTGGGTCTTTGATAGCAATTTCGGTTGGTTTGATGAGCGCATCAATCAGAATGGCCTGGAAATCAAGTCGCTGGGTTTCACTGGGAGCCAAAACTGCGGGATGGAAGCGACGGAGGCGTCGTGCTCGATGGAGGAGAATCGTGTCGTGGGACGTTTCGGGTAGTAAGCAAATTAAAACTAGGAGGAACGGCGCGCTCATCAGAACGATCTCCCATAGAGGCCAGCGCCAGTTGCTGTGCACCGCATAAGCTGCCATTAATGGCCCCAAGGCTGGGCCACAGTAAAAGCCCACCACCCAACAGATGTATCCATAGGGAGCGTTGGTTAGACTAAAGATATCCTTGATGGAGGCGCCTCCACTAGCCAGACACGGGCTGCCGAAGAACCCCTGTAGGAATCGGAGTACGACGATGGCTGGAAAGCTATCGACGACGGCGACAATGATGGAAACGATCACAAACAGTGTGAAGGAAAAACCATATGGAGGATTGCGACCAATGCGAGCAATTTCACTCAACGGCGAGAAGATCAGAGGGCCGACGGCGTCTGTTTGGATTAGTGCCTAGATGTCCACTAAAATAAAGCAGTGAAGAGAGACAAATGAGACTCACACCCGGCGACATAGACAGCCAATGTGAGCTGGACGACCTCAATAGAAACCCCGTACCGCATCACCATAAACTCATAACTGGGAACGAAGATTGATGATGCACAGTACACAATGAAGGAATAAACCCTGGCCGCAGTGAGGAAACGCCTATTTCCGACAGTAACAGGGATACACTTACGAGATCAATAGCGTGACCCATATCTTGCGTGCCGAAGACCAATTCAAGGGGTTTTCCGGATCGTTCGGGGTATACCAATCGATGACCAAGCTCTTATCACTCAGAGTCGCTGCAGACAGTTTCTCGGCATCCCGAAGCGTTCCTTGGCCGCTCTCCAGGTCTGTTTGGGACGAGACTTTTGACCTGGAACTTGAAGCACTTTTGTACGGGCAAAAGTTGAATGTGGGATCATCCTCAGGATAGCTGAAACAATGAGGGCCTAGCAGAAAACGAAGGACATCACCCAAAACGGTACCTCGTACCCAGCTCATAGTGGCCATCGAGTTACAACACCTTCTGGGAGATAGAAAATGGTAGGTGGCAATGGTTTTAGTCACTAATGTTCTGATCTATGAGACTCATAAATACCCTTGTTTTAAACACATGGTCACGGAATTCACACAGCCCGGATTTGCCTTGATAAGGGAGGCTATCACCCAGAGTTTAGTAGAAAAATGCATCTCGCAAGCCACCAAGGATACATTTTGAATGATTACTATACATATGTGGTCATGGTGGCTGAATGCCGAACGATGTTAACCAGCGAGTCCTAAAACCCGATTAGTGAGAGTGGGATCATGATATGATTTGTCTGCCAGATTCGACCCCAGTAGATATCGGCTGACGAGCTTGTTTCGGAGAGGTCGGGGCCAGTCAAACAGCTGTGTAGTTGGGGCCCATAACTAGAGAACAGGGCAATCATAAGGTACAGAACCTGATTGAAAGATGCCGAAACTAGGAAACACGGCTCGGCGACTCTAGGGCATGCCGAAGTATCCTGGCGGTCGGAAACCCTACACCGAACACGAGACGCCTGTCAGAACTATTGGAGCACGTATGAGATAAAGTTCGAGTAAAAACAGGCCTTTCGCTATCGTTAGGTTACATAAAGATCGATTCAAGACGGTGGTTTGTCATGCGGTTCCTCTGCCTCCATGTATGTCAACGTAAGACTTAGTTTTAACGCGACGTTTCTTAACGACTGTCTGAACGCATCAGGAGCGCTGTATTTGCAGGAGAAAACTGTACTGGGTTCAGCATATTGGATACCCTGTAGACTGGACCGAGTTGAGAGTTCTCGATAAGCTCAAGGACTTACATATGTGGCGAGTGATATGCAAGTATCAACCTTTAACCGACAAGCGAACAGCCCACCCGCCTTCAACGCCCTTCCCGCTCGATGATCGCAGAGAGACCACCTGAGATTGTCACACTAGAAGGGCTTTTAATGCATGCTACAACGACCTTCCCCACCGTAGTTCTTTCAATGTATGCTTGGCTTCCTCTTCCCCAACGCCAGCTACAAGAATTGCACCTTTGTTTTCGGGAGCTGTTATCGGAATCATGGCGGACGGTCGACCACACTGATAAACAATTGATCATGGGGTTTCCCGGTTGATCGCACCTTTGGCGTAGGCCGCTGCAATCTCACCACTGGGATGTCCTACGACTGCCGATGGAATAACACCCCGGTGTCTCAGTAAGTCGACAAGGGCGACTTAGGCCAGGGATAGCAAAAGGACCCTAGATGAACATCAGCAGCAGCATTAAGGCTATCCGTGGAGACTTCATAAGTTCGCAACCCCCGTCCCATTGCGAAATACAGAGCACACTGTCCGGTGAAGATGGATCCCACCTTAGGTGCTCTCGACGAGCAGATCGGCTTCGCGGCAGTTTATAAACTAGCCAAGAGTTCAGACACGTTGGAGCCCATTGCGAAGGACTTCCAAAGCCAAACACAGCGTCTCTCAGCAAGGGTGTAGGATAATCGATCAAGCAGAGTTCTTATGTCACTATCACTTCGCTGTTAGGTATTTCTTATAGGCCTCGGATATTCGTCGGATCCCTGCTTGCTCATGAGCCGACCAAACAATAAGCCTGAGGCGCGTTCCATCTGAATGCGGCTGGTCATCCTCTAGACTTTCTAAGCAGGTAAACCTGACTACCCAAGTCGCTGAGAGGGCCGTCGGAACCCGAAAATAGAGTCCAGGTGTGATTCGGTGAAAGTTGTATTGTGGTATCCTGTTAAGGCCCGTTCTCTCATATAATGATAGGTAACACTGATGACAACGTGGGAATTTGCACCCCCGAAACTAAATGAATTGACACTTGCACGACGAAGGCCCTCATATGGCCACGAGGCAACTCTCGAAGAATGGACAAATTCCATTCGTCGACTTTGATCCGAGGGTTCAGTTCGTCCAGCCACACCTGAGGGGGAATAACACCTTTCTCTAGCATGTACAGCGCTTTGATAAGACCTGCAAGGCCACTAGCACCTTTTAAATGACCAATGCTTGCTTTAACAGAGCCAACCTACAACGGTTTGCTTGCTGGGCGAGCGTTGCCAACTGCTGCTCCCAAGGCACTGGTTTCGATCGGATCTCCGGCCGCGGTACCTGTTCCCTGCAAAATGTTAGCGAATATCCATACCAATGCCTGGAGAGGCATTGGACAAATATACGTGTGCCTCGAAGTGTCCTGTGTCCGCGAAGTCCCGCTCTGCTTCCTGATAGACCTTCCGAATTAGAGAAGCTTGCGCATCGGCTGATGGGAGTATAATTCCTGGTGTACTGCCGTCCTGATTACTCGAGACCAGTTGGAGAAGCCTCGAGGAAAGGCATGATGGCCTGTTGGGTTGGCTGCGATACCCACGATTGGAAATCAGCAATATTGATATATGATGGAGCTCAGGAAGCTGAGGATGGCGATGGGGTCTTAGAGAACAAAGAAATCTGCATACAAAAGCCCTTATAAGATAATGAAGACAGTTAGTAGCAGGTTGTATGGCCAATCAGACTTAACAATTTATACCATATTACCATGTATCTCTCCTTTCGTGAGGCTGCATACCTCCTCCATTTCGGCGCAGCCTGGGTCATCCGGGTGCACAGTTAAAAAGAAAAGTTAGAACTGAATAGCCACAGTTGGTTGTCTCAGAGAACCAGCCAGCCGGTCAACGCCACCGAGATGACGGGGAACGGGAACAGCGGTGACTTTTTTCGGCGACATATTTTGAAATCTGAAAGATGAGCGAACTGAAATAAAGTGCCCGAGGCTGCTATTTATTACTTTTGCGGAAAGCTCAATGCGCCAACCAGAATAGGTATAATGGTCGACTTTACGAATAGTCAATGAACCACTTCACTACATCCAACTTCAATAACGCAAATGCTATGCCAAAGTGGAAACATGCATTACTACTTACTATCATCCCTCTCCTGGTATCGCTGATTCCCTACTATTACTTCCATGTCAACTAAAACCATAGCCACTACGTAACACCTCCGGTAAATATCTCGTTGGCTTAACAGCAGCTTCTCGGTACCTGGCACCTGGAGACATATCATGTCATCGTTTGGAAGTTCGCTAGTTACCACTACCTAAAGAGGCCAAAGGCTTGATCATATACTCTGAGGACGGCTATATGGCGGCACAGTTGATGAAACTTGGTCTTCCACGATTCGCACAAGAGATTTGCCATTTTGCTTCCGACGCGGAACGAGCTCAAGCAGCTAAAGGGCGTCTGGCGTATGCCGGTACATACCACCTAGGTGTTGATGAGGAAATGAGATTGGTGGTGAATCATACGGTCGATGTATCTCTGTTTCAGAACTGGTTGGGAACAAATCAGACCCGGGTTTCCCAGATCGATGGAAAGTGGTTAATTCTGGAACTGAATCCGCTGCCTAAGGTTGTGGTAAGTTTGGACACATTTAACCTGCTAGGGCTTCCCGGCTTACACGCTGCAGGGCATTGGAGTTAATGTTGTTTTGAGGTGGAAGAGGGCGGGACGTCGAATATCACCCGGCAGGCATGGCATGAGATGATCAAACTTCGTTATACATGTGCATCCTAGTCTCCATACTATTATATATAAAGAGAACCCATTGGTAAGTACTCTAGATCACTTGGTTTCTAGTGAAGGTATTCTTCGATAACATGCATACATGGCCACAGCCTATTCCTCGCTAAATTCAGCAGATTTCTGTGTTTATTTATTTGCCTGGCTTCCTCCCCCCCC